AAATTATGCCTTTAAATTTTACCCTTGTTGTAGCAGGCATCAGTATTTTATTTTTAATGCCAAATAATATTCCATGATAGATCACATATTATGTATCTTTTTATTAGCTAATTCCCATGTAATTGGATCTTCTAAACAATTTGATCCATTTATAACTTGTTCTCATATAAACCTGATGTTTTCTTACAGCAATATTCAAGACTGTTACAGCCTGATTTCATTTCCAACCCTGGAAATTGCCATTGAAAACATAAAAAAATAAATAAATAAAACTGATTCACTTAAAGGATGAAAGAGATGTGTTGATACTTGCCAAGTTTGTCTTTCTATAATAGATATTGATACATTACTAATATTCAGTCACTGTATCTATTCCATTGTAAATGGCTTCCAACTCCTTTGTCATTTCATCTCAGGATATCTGTAATTTTCATTGTGTTCCATGTGAGATTTTTAACATACTAAAGCCATTGGCTGCACTGTATTTTGTTTACAATGCTTTAAGGAAATTTATTTTATTTTTAACTAAATAATACTTGTCAATCATTTTCTTAAAGGGTTGTCCTTCAAGTTAAAAGAAATCCTCCTTTCTTAAGGTTCATTAGATATTTTATTACTGATGCAGTTTCATGTTTAAATGTTTTTATTGCTACAGCATTTATTTTAGTATAAAACAAGACATAGTTCTTCATTTTTTTCTTCAGAAGGGCAATGACTCATTTTAATACCTGTTCCCAATTAATTTATCATGTACTAAATTATACTTTTTATTTGAATGTCTCTGAAAAAAACGCTCCAGTTTATAATTAATCTGTATCTGATTTATGATAAAATCATTCCATATTAATCAGTATAACTTAATCATAGGATATAGTAATATATAAGACCTTAACCCTGTTATATAGCCATTGTACTTGGGAAGATTTTTATGAATTAATGTTTAATCTTTATAAAATGCTATAAATATTTAGGTGGGGTTGGTTGCACATGCTTCTAGTCTTAGAATTTGGGAGGCATAGGCAGCCAGGTCTCTGTGAGTTCAAGGTCATCCTGGTCCACACGGAGAGTTAGAGGCCAACCAAGGCAGCATAGTGAGACCCCATCTTTAAAAAAGAACAGTTATTCCACGTGTTCCACCTGGTTTGTAAACTAGGACAGATAGAGTTGATTCTTCAAAGTCTACTTTTCAGAACTGTCTTTTTGCTGTAGCAGGGAAGGCTACAGTGCATGCTCTTCCCTTCCAAAGAGCATGTGATCACAAAACCAGTCACCCATCTACAGAACAATACTTACCATCATAAGTGGCAATGCATGTATACAATCAACACTGCGACATTAAAAAACCAAAACTAAAAAAAAAAAAAAAAAAAAAACCAGTTATATGTAGTAAGAATTATATTCTTATTTACAGGTGCAGAGACTAAGGCAGAGAGAGTTTAGGATCCTTATTGAGTGAAGGACCTCATAGTGTCATGTTCAGATTCAAACAAAATTGCTTGATCTCCAATGTTAATGAATCCATAATGTCTTATCTTAGCTTCTAGGCTGCAGATTCTTTTTAATGCCACTACAGCAAAAATTCTCAAAAATGAACCTTGTTTTTGGTCCTATCAGAGAAAGACTTGTTTTTATTTTTATTTGTTGTTGTTTCCTTTCTGTTCTTTTTTATTATCCTCTAACATAATACATTCCAACTGCATCCTCCCTTCCCTTCTCTCCTCCCAGTTCCACCCCACCTTCCCTCTCTTCTAGATTCATTGCTACTACATTTCCCTTCAGAAAAGAGAAGGCCTCCCAGTGATATCAGTTTAACTTAGCATAGAAAGATGTAATAAGACTAGGCACAAACCCTCATTTCAAGGCTGGAAGAGGCAACCCAGTGGGTAGAAAAAGCTTCCATGAGCAGGCAAAACAGTCAGAGATATGGGTCGCACAAAAACCCCAGTCAAAGGAATCACGCATGTCTACAGAAGACCTAGGGACAGGTCCAGGCAGGCTCCATGATTGCCACTTCAGTCTCTGTGAGCCCCTATGAGCCCTGCTTAGTTGATTCTGTGGGCCTTGTTCTTCTAGTATCCTTGCCCGTCTGGATACTATAATCCATCCACCCCCTCTTCTGTGGAGTTCCTTGAAATCTGTATAATGCTGGGCTGTGACTCTGTATGTACTCCCATCAGCTGCTGGAGGAAGCTTCTCGAATGACCATCAGGTTAGGCACCTAATTATGAGCATAGAAAAATACCAGTGGCCAGCCGATGACTGCTCTAACCTGATGCCCAGGAAAGGAAGCCCATGCCTAAAACTGCCTAGATGGTCAGGATCCGGAAGCTGGATGGCCTGAAGACCTAGGATAGAGCAGAACAGGAGGAAGATGGTTAATTTCCATTCTACAGTTTCCTTATTTTGTGCAGCAATTCGTTTTGTGTGTCTGCAGGTAGATTACCTATTATTATAACTTGCGTAGGTCCCTGTGTGTATATCTCTTCTAGATTTAGGAAGGCTGCTGTTGTTTAGATTGCCTATTCAGAAGCTAATGGGTTTTCGTGGCCTGGGATGAAAGTCATAGCTAGAACAGGAAGCATTTGCCACTGTATTAAAGAGCTTATTTCTGTAATTTTGAGTATGTTCAGGAGCTAGATGGAATTTGTGTGTGGACCCTTTTTTTTAGATTCACAGAAGCAACCTGCTTAGGGGACTTATCAAGCACCAGGCTTAAGACTGAATCAGGACCCTGAGGTCAAGGGGTTTCTCATTTGAAGTGATAGCTGGGGCTTGATCGGGTACCTGCTATTACTGAGGGAGTCAGCCATTTTCACCTTCCCTGCCCTCCATGCTCCTCTGTCTTCAGTCTTTCTTTATGAAACTTGGAGAGTGGTAATGCATTTCCTGTCGGACTCCTCTAGTGATTCCATGTGTCAGAGGGATGGGGAAGCAGCAAGCTTGGACCTTGCTCGAGTCTGATTTTTTTCTTATGAAATTTACTAGAGATCCCTCCAAATCCTATGTTTGTAGTAAATAACAAAGATCCTAGAGTCAGTATTCCATCAGAGGAAAAGTGACCTCATCTAGGCTCCCTTTCAGCCTACTGATAGAGTATAAGGTAAGGGGAACCATTTACTATCATTTTCATTTGTACTGGACAAAGGAAAGAAGCAGAAGCAGAAGAATGTGTTGACGTTCCTACCGCTATAATTTTGCATTTCACTTGGTTAAGAAGGCAGTGTATTTAGTGGTAGCAAAACACAGATGATCATTTGCCAGCACTGGATGAGACTCCTCTTGGCAGAGAGGCCTCCCTCTAGGTAGGAAGCCATGGGGAAGACAGCACCATTACCATGCCATCTGGGTCACAGCTCTTTCAGGTACTACTCTGGCATCTTGGCTATTTGATTCACTTGGGTTCCAGTAGATGAGTTGGGATACAGTTCTGAGTAATGAGGCCCTTCTGGGAAGAGAGCTTTGGCTCAGAACTCCATTCAGTGACTGGAGAACATGACCTGTGGCAGGATTGTGCACACAGACTCTTTGATCTTTTTTTTTTTGGTGGTTTTGTGAGTCCATCACATGGAGTCAGGAACTCTGAACCACTGGTGCAGTTTAAACACCTTAGGTCGAAGGAAGGTACCGATACCATTCCACTCAGGGGACCGCAGAGAATTAGAAGGTGGATCCCTTCCATTTCAGAGACAAACAAAGCCCGCCGAACATACAGATGCTGGTTGTCTCTGGAAGGGAAAACATTCAGAGAACAGAGAATATGTGCATGGCTGAGCTAGTTATTCATCGGGTGTTTTTGACTTCCTAAAAGCAACTTTAATGTATTTATACAATTTATAAAGATGTAACTGATTCTGGAGCCCTGCTCTTTACAGAGGACATATTTCATGTTATTGTAAGCACTGAAGAAAATTAAATCAATAAATCCACAGCCTGTAATTTGAGATTCTCAATTTGAAGAAAAATACATTGTCAGGGAGGGAGGAGAAAATCCTTTTCACGGAGGAAGAATTGTAAACAACCTGTCTTGGCTCGACTGACTGTCCCGTGAATCCAGGTGACAGCAAGAATTACCTTATTCAGTAAGAACATCAAAGGGTTGTCCTGACACCTCCCCAAGAGCCAAGGCCAGCTGCCTGCCCTTTAAAATGGTAGAGTAGAAAGCTATGCAAATGAGGCTGGCGCTCTCCCTGCAGAACTGTCCTCTTCTCTGAGAAGTCTGTGCTGGTTGGCAGTCAGGCTGAGTGTCAGGAAGCAGAATGAATTTCCCCTCTCACTGGCACTGATGCGTTCCATGACCACTGGCAAGCCAATTAACCTCCACAAGTGTCACCTCTCCATGTGTAAAAGGTTAATAGTGCAGCTTGTTTGCAAAGTGCCCGGAGCCCTGTGTGAAGGGCACTATCCACACACCCAGCATGGCTGCTTGACTAGAGGGCCTTGCATTTTTTAATTATATATCTGGTTGGATGGGTTATGGATTTTGTTGTGACTGGCTATGGCCCTTTCTCCCTGGTTACAAATACAAAGACTAATAGGTGATCTCACTCTATTACTGTCTTCTCCAGCTCCCCAGAGGGTTAAGGGAATGACAGAGGTTACAGATTAATAATGGATTCTTCAGTGAAGAAAAAAAATTCATGTGCATCTCAACTTCATAATGGCTGTGGATGGTAATTTATTGGGCCAAGTGTTTCATCAGATGCTAAGCAGATAATGCTGGCAAACACTCATGAAATTATGAGCTTTTTTCTTTTTCTTGTCTCCTAGTAGTTTTTCTTCCTTTGTATGAATATAAAGTGGTAGGAACCATTTTGTTAAGGTATATTTCAGGTGCATTTATGAGTATTGGAAAAGTGATACTCTGAAGTGTCAGAAAGTGACATATTTGTGTGTATCTAACTTTTGACATGAAGCTTGCTGTTTTATTGAATCAGGGCCACCTGTGAGTAATGCCAGTCCTAGCTCAAAGTGGCATACACATATCCTGTGCTTCTTTGCAGATTTACGGAAAAACTTTGAACAAGATCCACAAGGCAGGGAGGTTCCAATCGAGGGCATGATTGTGTTGCACTGCCGCCCACCAGAGGGAGTGCCTGCAGCAGAGGTAAGAAAGACCGGCTACGTGGAGCCAGGCCTGTCAGCGAAGGACAGAAGCGGCTAAAAAGGGAGAAAGAACCTGGGCCCAGCATTATTGCTGCCTGGTCTTCCTAGCATGACAAGATGAATAAATCATGAAGGCAAAATCTGGGGGACTATCCCTGCCTCTTGTCTACATTCTGATTGACACACAATCCTTGCTAGGAAGTCTGGATAGACTATGACCTAGATTCTGAGGATGGACCTTGCTGTCCCCATGGGTGTCATCTGCCCTGTGTACTGTTGAGTTTGCCTGCTTTATACACTGGCTGAGGGTCACATCGAGCCTTTAACAGGCAACACTGCATGGATATATGCCTGCACAGGGAAGCAGTTGGCCCCTGTTCATTCCTACTTGCTTATGGACCACACATCTTCTGAGCAATTGGTACCTTATAGACTCAGAGCTGGCATTAGGATTATGGATCCACTGTCACTGTGTGACATCAATGATCCAGAGTGACCATGGATTTGGATTTCAGACCTGTTTCCTAGAACCCCCAGCATACACTGTGAAACCTAAGTGTAGCCAGCAGTACCCTGTGGTACACAGAAGGTTTTCTGAATCCTTTGGCCACTCATTATTCATGTTCTGATTGACTCCTAATATAATTACAGGAAACAAACCTAACAAGAGAAAGCATGCAGGTTGTAGTTTATAGGACTATAAAAAATAAATGTATACCACTATCTTATGTCCAGCAGTAACTGTTCCAACCACAGCTTTTATCTGCGAAGCTGGGAAACTGTAGCTCCTTCACTGAGAAGTAGAAAGACTCTAGAGTAGAAAAACAGAAACAAATGAAAAGGAAATCAGAAACATTTGTCATCTGTCTTTGCTAAAATATCTCTATGATTTATAGTGGGAAAGAACAAAGGAAGAGAGGAGAATGAAACACACTTGCATACTTAGGCAGAAATCATGCTGGATGAATGCTACTCAGGCTTACATGGCTCACAGAAATGAAGTAAACGGACTTGAAAATTGAAGTGAGCATATCATGCATGATATAAAATAATTAGAAATGAAAATGCTTATTTTTAAGTTTTTACTTAATGTAGAACAAAAAACTATTAATCTTGTGCCACTTGCTTATTTCCTAGAAAGCGTGTGTCCCGTCTCCTAGGCAGAGCACTCCATTCACTGTGTCATCGCGCTTAGGTCCTCCTGTGTTCCCAGGGACCAGCCTGCCACATCATTATTCTCTGCAGCCCCTTTACCCACCTTTGGGAATCCTGCTTTACAAAGCGTCCAGCAGAGACACAGGCAGCCTCTGCATACCCTCCCCACAGAAGGTGGGGCCCGGGTGGCGAGAAGGCCAGTGTCTGCTGTTAGCAACCTGCCTGTAGGATGTAGTGCAGGAGGCAGTGTATTCGGATGTCTAGGAGTCGATTTTTACAGCTAGGGAAAGCTTAATTATTTCCCCAGTACAGCCTTGGCCTTTGAGAGGCTGGAAAACCAATGTTCAGATCAATGACTTAGCAGAGGCCTCACAGCTATACTCGGTCTCTCTTCCAAATCTTCTAGGGGACTTTGAAGTCCTTGTGGGAAATGTGTGCTGTCTGTGCCTCCGAAGCTCTAGCACAATGGGTTTGCTGTTATCACTTCCACTGTTCTGTGCCTCCTGCGCTGCAGCCACACCTTCTTCCTCACGCTTTCCTGGGTCTATCAGCCACACTTCAGCTCCAGGTCCTTTGTGCATGCGGGTTTCAGCAGTGGTAGTCTCGGTCATTCTTCCTTCAGGCCTTACTCTAATAATCTCCTACTTGAAGAGGCTTGCTGTCGACACTTTGGAAAACATCACCCCCACCCTACACACTCAAACTTCTTAGCCCTCCTTGTTAGCCCCTACTTTCTGTCTCTTTATCTTGTCACTCATGCTGTATTGGCCTTGCTTGTTTGCTGTTGTCCTACCGGAAATTAATTTGTATAAGGAGAGGTTTTGTGTATGTTATTTGTCCCTGTATCACCAGAAAATGAAATAGTACTCTCGTGGCTGTTATCAAAAGGAAGGACGCTAAAAATGGTGGTAAAGATATGGTGAAAATGAATTCCTCCTAAACAGATGTTAGAGAGGGACAGTGTGGCCAGTAGGGAAAACACTAAAGATGTTTCTCTAAAACAAAATGTAGGATTACTCTGTGACCCAGAATTCCACTACGGGACATATATCCAAAGAAATGAAATAAGGACACCTACAAGGCACCTGCATCTTTTTATTTGCTGTACCAGTCATAGTAGCCAAAGTATGGAATCAACCCATGTCTGTGAGCAGATGAATGGACAAGAGCAACATGGCTTATGTAATGCAATGCCAGTATTATTCAGCCATTAGAATGGATGTCATTCCATTCCTAACAACAAATGTGAGCGTCTGTGACATCATGTTGCATGAAATGAACAAGGAATAGGATGGCTAGTTACCATATAATCTTACATTCCTGTAGAGACTGAGAACATTAACTCACTGAACAGAAGTGGCTCCCAAGAGCTGGTGGGAAGGCCAAAGGATGCAGGATTTTATTAGAAAGGAACAGATTCAAGGGCTCAGTTTATAACATGGCTACTGCAGTTAATCACAATGATTGTGTTCTTAAAAATTGACATGATAAACATAAGTTAGTGAACATATTAGCTCCTTTTAGCCATCCCACTACAAATACACATTTAAAAACATTTTGTGTACACACACACACACATACACATTTAATTGGTTTGTCTTACATCAGCTTGACATACAAACTAATCTTATCTGTAAAGAAGGGGCCTCAATAGAGAAAATACCTCCATAAGATCTCTGATCTGGCTGTTGGACATTTTCTTAATTAGTGATGGATGAGGGTGGTCCCTCTCCATGGTGGATGGTACCAATCCTGGGCTGGTGGTCCTGGAGTCTATAAGAACAGAGCCTGAGCAAGCCAGGGGAAGTATGCCCATGGGGAACACCCTCCCATGACTACTGTATCTGCCCTGACTTTCTTCTTTCACTGATGAACTGAGATTGAAGTATAAGCTAAATAAACCCTTCCCCCTGCCAACTTGTGCATTGGTCATGGAGTTTCATTGCAACAATAGAATCCAAACTAAGATGCACACAGACACACACACACACACACACACACACACACACACAAACTTTATTTGTCAAGGAAGAAGTTAATCTATAAAAAGCCAAAATGTCTTCTCACACCAAGGTGCCATCTTGCTGCACATGAGTGAACTTAGCTTCATGCCTCTGTCAATGAGTATCAGAGGGTGTCTGTCAGACTCATGGGGAGAAAGTCTATAGGCATGTGAGTAGATTTGCTTTTTGTTTCCTGTTCTTTTGGGACTAGATACCAGCAAATGACTAGAACATTCCCCATCTATATGTGGAGGGTATGGATAAAATGAGGGGGAAAATAACGGGAACCCATAGGGGGACATTATTGGAGAAGGTAACAGAGCAAAGCAAAGTATGCCAAGCAGGTTGTAGATGTTCGCACATGCGTCCACACACATCCCTGAAGCACCTTCCTACACAATACTGGCTCTGATGCTGTGCAAGCTTGGTGGATTCATGTGCAGTGGGCTGGTTTCGAGGATCAAGCAGCTTCCCTGTATGATCAGAGGCTTAAAACTATTAGATTTGTCTCAGGGTTCCAAGCATGCCCCTCCATATCCCTTACCTAATCTCCTGTCTGTCAAGTGAAATAAGGTGTGTCCATTAGCTCAGTACATTTTCTTCTTTTATTTGCTTCTGATGGGGCTTTTCAGCTGCAACCCCAATGAGCAAAGCAGGGCTGTTCAATGTTAGCAGAAAGTATATTAGGAAAAGTATAAAAGAAGGGAGAATGCAGTTGACTTTATGGTACTTATCTTCTCGTCCATTTTAAAACCTTAGCCATTTGTTTTCTTAACTCATTTCCCAAAATTCCTGCCACAAAGAACCACAACTCAGGAAGCTTAAAATGATAAATATCTTTCCCTTCATAGTTCTGGAGGTAGAAGTTGGAAGTTCGTGTACTAGCAGGTCACTTTCTCTTAGGAATGCTAAGATAAAATCTGTCTGAGGCTTGTCTTCTAATTTCTGCTGCTGGCAATCTCTGATTTCTTTGGCTTGTGAGCACATCACTTTGGTCTCTGCCTCTACCTACAGGTATCTGTATCACTGAGGATCAGAATACTACTCTCTTCACAAAAGCACCGCCCACTGGGTTTTGATCTGCCCCAATCCAGCAAAGCCCTATGTTAGTTTTACGGATCACAAACATTTCTAAAGACTCAACTTCCAAATAAAGAGAGAAATGGAATCACTATTCAGACCAATGCACTTTCTTTTTTTGTTTGTTTGTTTGTTTGTTTGTTTGTTTAAATAATATATAGGTTGTAAAGGTTATTTCAGAGTTAGGCCAGCTAAAACTAGTTGCTGGTCTGTTTTAAGAAGCAGTTGAGACTAGAGGATGACTACAAATAGATTCTGAGGTAAGAGGAGCTAGAACTTTTGTTCCCTTAGTTTTGCATCGAAGGGGAAGTTTCTATGAGGAAGTTTCTATTGCGTGTGGCTATGTGGATTACTGCAAAGTCCAGGCCATTACTGCTAGCATCATCTATATGCAGGGAGGCATCCCACTTGACTTACCATGGGATACCAGTTCAACTACAAAATGCTGAGCACCCACACTCACAGCTCTTTCACTTTGATTAGTAGCACAGAGATAAATTATTTTCTCATATGTCTGTGTTTTTTCTTGGATGGAAGGGAGAATGGGAGAAGAAAGATGAGGACAAGGGGAAAGAAAAGTGACTATGTCTGTGTATCTGCACTGCTCTAGTCTCTCAGGATGGACATCTCTGCCATGGTCTTTTATATGGTCCTCAGATCAGAGTGTGTGCTTGTTGACTACATAATGGAAGAATGGTCCTAGGGCGGTTGACTCTACAGTATAGCAGTAACTGGGTACTGTGTTTGAACACTAAAAATATTG